GCAAGTCACGTGTGTATGTATGTGTGTATATGTATATGTGTGTGTATATATATATATATATATATATATATATATATATGTGATTTTGCACTGTCCTGAAACAGTAGTTCTGCTACAGGGTGGCGGGCAAGTGGTTAAGGATGGTGGTGTAGGAGAAGGGCAGGGCAAGCATAACTTCATCTGCATGAAGGCACTCTTTATGTCTGGAGGGAAAGAAATGTAATCTCCAAACACGGAAAGGTTCTCCACAGTGAGAGCTGTGAAAATGTGGAATAGACTCCCTCAAGAGTTTGGTTCTGGCCAGATCAGTGGATTTCTTCAAAAAAGTCCTGGATTCTTTCTTAGATACACAGAATATAACTGGATATTAACATTTATAGGTAAAGTTGATCCAGGGAATATCCGATTTGCCTCTTGGGGGATCGGGAAGGAATTTTTTTCCCTGCAGGAGCAAATTGTATCATGCTTTGCTGGTTTTTTTTTGCCTTCCTCTGGATCAACTGTGGGTGTAGGATTGTAACTTATTTTTTTTTTTTTTTCTATGGTTGAACTGGATGGACTTTTGTCTTTTGATCAGCCAGACTAACTATGTACAGTGGGGATCGAAAGTTTGGGCACCCCAGCTAAAAATTTGTATTAATGTGCATAAAGAAGCCAAGGAAAGATGGAAAAATCTCCAAAAGGCATCAAATTACAGATTAGACATTCTTATAATATGTCAACAAAAGTTAGATTTTATTTCCATCATTTGCACTTTCAAAATAACAAAACAAAAAAATGGCGTCTGCAAAAGTTTGGGCACCCTGCAGAATTTATAGCATGCACTGCCCCCTTTGCCAAGCTGAGACCTGCCAGTGTCATGGATTGTTCTCAATCATTGTCTGGGAAGACCAGGTGATGTCAATCTCAAAGGTTTTAAATGCCCGGACTCATCTGACCTTGCCCCAACAATCGGCACCATGGGTTCTTCTAAGCAGTTGTCTAGAAAACTGAAACTGAAAATAGTTGACGCTCACAAAGCTGGAGAAGGCTATAAGAAGATGGCAAAGCGTTTTAAGATGTCAATATCCTCTGTTCGGAATGTAATTAAGAAATGGCAGTCATCAGGAACAGTGGAAGTTAAAGCAAGATCTGGAAGACCAAGAAAAATATCAGACAGAACAGCTCGCAGGATTGTGAGAAAAACAATTCAAAACCCACGTTTGACTGCACGATCCCTCCAGAAAGATCTGGCAGACACTGGAGTTGTGGTACACTATTCCACTATAAAGAGATACTTGTACAAATATGGTCTTCATGGAAGAGTCATCAGAAGAAAACCTCTTCTACGTCCTCACCACAAAAATCATCGTTTGAACTTTGCAAATGAACATATAGACAAGCCTGATGCATTTTGGAAACAAGTTCTGTGGACCGATGAGGTTAAAATTGAACTTTTTGGCCGGAATGAGCAAAGGTACGTTTGGAGAAGAAGGGGCACAGAATTTAATGAAAAGAACCTCTGTCCAACTGTTAAGCATGGGGTTGGATCAATCATGCTTTGGGGTTGTGTTGCAGCCAGTGGCACAGGGAACATCTCACGAGTAGAAGGAAAAATGGATTCAATAAAATTTCAGCAAATTTTGGATGGTAACTTGATGCCATCTGTGAAAAAGCTGAAGTTAAAGAGAGGATGGGTTCTACAAATGGATAATGATCCTAAGCACACCTCGAAATCCACGGGGGATTACATCAAGAGGCGTAAACTGAAGGTTTTGCCATGGCCTTCACAATCTCCTGACCTCAACATAATTGAAAATCTATGGATAGACCTTAAAGAGCAGTGCGTGACAGACAGCCCAGAAATCTCAAAGAACTGAAAGACTTTTGTAAGGAAGAATGGGCAAAGATACCTCAAACAAGAATTGAAAGACTCTTGGCTGGCTACAAAAAGCGTTTACAAGCTGTGATACTTGCCAAAGGGGGCAGTACAAGATATTAACTCTGCAGGGTGCCCAAACTTTTGCAGACGCCATTTTTTTGTTTTCTGTTATTTTGAAAGTGTAAATGATGGAAATAAAATCTAACTTTTGTTGACATATTATAAGAATGTCTAATCTGTAATTTGATGCCTTTTGGAGATTTTTCCATCTTTCCTTGGCTTCTTTATGCACATTAATACAAATTTTTAGCTGGGGTGCCCAAACTTTCGATCCCCACTGTAACTATGAAGACAAAACTGGACTCCATGGACTAGTAAGTAACTGGGGAGTTCATAGAGCGTATATGACATTTTTTAGAACTGCTTTCACACGACAAATCTTAGGGTGGGGGACCAATCCATGTACATATTGGAAACAGGTACATGAATTTAGGGCACTCACCGTGTGTGAAGATTCATGGAGACCAGTGTGTCCATACTGAATATTTCATCTCCAGTACAGCTGCGCTGCCTCTGCATCTATCACACAGACCGCTGATTAAGGGCCAGTTCACACTGACCTGCGCTAAAATGTATGGAAAATGCATGTACATTTCCATCCATTTTAGGTCTGCTGACGTCTGCTCACTTGTGATGTCCATTGACCTACATTGTGACATCTGTTGATATGTGCGGCATTATGGTGTGAATAGGACACATTGGGAATTATTGCTTTTTCAGATGTCCTACCGTTGATCTGTGTTTTGCGAGGCTTTGGTGCAAATTAACCCAAAGGAGGAGTTTTGTAGCTGAGTGAATGGACCTGATGGCAAAGCTGAGAGACTAGTTCACCATCAGGTCTTCTCCCCTTGTGATTGACAGCAGGCAGTGGGTGGATCCATAGCCAATTGGACAACCAGCTGCTGGCTATAGAATCCGCCCACTTCCTTTTGTCAATCACAAGTTGGTAGTGGACCTGATAGGGAACTAGTCAATCACACAAGTTGGGAGTGGATCTGATGGGGAACTAGTCAATCACAAGTTGGGAGTAGAACTGATGGGGGACTAGTCAATCGCAAGTTGGGAGTGGACCTGATATGGGGAACTAGTCTTATCAGCTTCGTTATCAGGTTCCACCCACTGTCAGTGTCACTGGTTGTTAAGAGCCTGTAAGCTGTGAACCTGACAGGGTCCTTGTCATCTAGTGACTGGTGGGTAGGGGAGTGGGTTGCGGCTGCAACTTATAGTTGGTCTTAAAGTAGAGCTGAACCCATTGATTTAAAGCAGAACTTCATCCTTTATGCCATTTCCCCCCAACACTTTTGGACTTTTTTTTTTTTTCTGCGGTGGGGAGCGGGTACTTTGTCTAAGTAGGTACCTGCTCCCACTTTTGGTTGGATCGCCTAGGCATTTCAGCTGGAAGTTCACCCCCCCCTTCCTTCTCTCTGCTTGCGACCTCTTGGGACACGTCACAGGGGTTCCAAAGACCAGCAGAGAACCGGCCCAGGTGAGGATGGCGCTAGGTCATTGGATGGGTAATGTCCTTTTTTGAAAGTCAGCATTTAAAGTACTTGAAGACCCTCTTTAACCATTTCCCAAAACTGTCACATCTAAGGCATACTGTGAATGATAACTGTCACAGCTACTTGTGCTCTCAACTGACCTGTCAAGTCATCAGGTGTCATCTGGCCTTGCATGTTTTTTTTCCCCCTCCATTATCAGCTCTGTAGAAGTGTGCAGGGAATCTGCAAGATGGGAATACAGAAATACAAGCTGCAGGTCCCTGAAATCAACCTGGTTACAGCTTGCAGCAGCTTAGTGTGTGCAGAATATGGGAGGAGTAGAACCCCTTCAGGTTTTTATTGTGTCTCTAGGGAGATTCACACTGACTGTTAGTCCCGGTGACCATTGTCTTCTGTACGGTGATGGGAAATCAGAAATGATTGAGTTGTAAGAGGAAGAGGTGACATGAAATCTTCCAATAGGGACACCTGTTGTGGTGACAACTGCCTAAGAGATGATATTTTCCTGCTAACAAGGGGTCTCCTCTTTTGTCCTGCTGTATCTTTGGGACATGAAGTGACAAGGAGTCTCCATGACACAGACAGTAAAATGCTAACAGGATCTTAACCGTTCCCTACTATATCCAGAGCTAAAAGAACAAAGGTTTGGCTTTAGATACTTTAAGCAAAAAGCATCCATAAGTCTTGTTCTCCAAAGAAATTCAAGCTAAAGGACAGTAAAGTCAAGTTTGGGCCATAGCAAGAGTTAGGAAAGATTTCCCTGTTAGGTTTCTGAGCAGTATTATTTATTTATTATTTATTTCAGGTACTTGTATATCGCCATCAATTTAAGCAGTGCTTTACATATATATTGTACATTCACATCAGTCCCTAACCCTCAAGGGGCATACAGTCTAGGTCCCTAACTCACATACACATGCTAGGGCAAATTTAGACCGGAACCAATTAACCTACCTGCATGTCTTTGGAGTGCGGAAGGAAACCGAAGTACCCAGAGGAAACCCATGCAGGCACAGGGAGAACATGCAAATTCCAGGCAGGTGGTGCCGTGGCTGGGAATCGAACCAACGACCCTAGTACTGCCAGGCAAAAGTGTTAACCATTTAGCCACTGTGCTGCCCTAATCCCCTTTCTATTCCACCCAAAAAAAAAAAAAAATCAATTTTCACCCCAAAATGACCGCATCATTTCCCCTCCCCTCTACATATTACACAACAACTTTTTCTTTTTGTTTCTGTGAAGCAAGTACATGTTTTTGGTAGTTCTCACTCGCCCTTCCTCTTTACTCACCTAAGCAGGGATGATGTACTCTAGGAATTGCTGACTTTTAGTTTTTTCCCCTAGCCAGGTGACGTTCCTCTTTAACTGTTCTGCTACCTGATTTTTCCTTTGTTCAGATTTTCACGTGACCTGTGAAAATGACATAGTATTTGCTGGGCTTTGTCTATTTCACCTCGTCTTCTTGTTGTTGTGTGTGATATCCTTGAAAAACGCATATGCAATGGTCATCCTTTGTTTTGTGTTATACCTGATTATTCGATTTTCTGTACTGCTTTGCTTTTTTGTAGCCATCAAACATGTGGTTCCTGCTTGTTCTGCTTCCATTCCAAGTTGGACTGAGTGGCGCGGTGGATAGTGATTGGGTCCATTTGCCCAGTAAATGTGAAGGTATGACTAGCAGTATAAATGCATGTGTGTGATAAATATAGAATGCTAGTATACTGTAGCTGTCAGATTATTATTATTATTGTACAGAATTTATATAGCACCAACAGTTTGCTCAGCGCTTTACAATATAATGGGAGACAGTACAGCAACAATACAGTTCAATACAAGAGGGATAGGAGGGCCCTGCTCCTTGGAGCTTACAATCTAAGAGGGAGGGGCTAGTGGTACAAAAGGTAATAACTGTGGGGGATGGAGTGGTAGGAGGAATAGAAGATTCCATTGTTAGCAGAGGGCAGGATAGGCTTCCCTGAAGAGAGAGGTTTTCAGAGATCGCCTAAAAGTGAGCAGAGTAGACGATAGTGTGATAAATTGGGATAGAGAGTTCCAGAGGATGGGGGAAGCTCTGGAGAAGTCCTGGAGACGATCATGGAAGGAGGAGACAAGGGAGCTAGAGAGTAGGAGGTCATGCGAGAGATTGGAGAGTACGGTTTGGGTGATATTTGGAGACAAGATTGGTGATGTAATTTGGGGCAGAGTTATAAATGGCTTTATGTGTTATTGTTAATGTTTTGAATTTTATCTGTTGGGCAATGGGAAGCCAGTGGAGAGATTGGCAGAGAGGGATGGCAGATATGGAACGGTTAGTAAGTTGGATGAGTCTGGCAGCAGCATTCATGATAGACTGAAGAGCCTGCAATGAGGTAGGCCAATGAGAAGGGAGTTACAATAGTCAAGGCGAGAGATAACCAGGGAGTGAATAAATTAGAATAGATTAGAACTGTCAGCATTGTTGATTTTAATGGAACTGACCTGTTTTAGCTATTATCAAATCCAGCACAAAGAAAAAATAAAAATCTTCTGATTGGCAGTTAAGACTAGGTCAGTAAGCTGCAGGACACAGACTAACCATGGATAAGAATTGCTTAAATTCAGGATTGGGACAGAATGAGGGAAATGATTTTTCAGTGTACATGTAAACAAATGCAAAGTGAAATGTAAGTCTGTGTGTGGTTTTAGCTTTTAAAATTCTAATTTAAGACTGGACATTCAAGTTCTTGTATAGGTCCAGCTGTGCATGGTTCCCTTTTTAAAAACAGGGTGTTGGAACAAGGAATGAGCCAAGATAGGATTGCAAGGATGATTAAAAGGGTTACAAGGTCTGCCAAACAGTCTTACAATTCCCTCTGAATGTGTAATTGCTGGGCCTAGGCTCTCACTACATGCTTCTATGGATTGATGCACAAATGATGTACTCCGCAATACGTCATTCATGCCAGCTACTCTTGACAAATGGAAGGTATTGAAATCTTGTCCCCAACCCATCCCCCCCCTCCCCTGTTTGTTTTCTATAGCATCCGAGACATGGCAGCCTCCCAGCTCTTTAATGTAACCAAACAGATGCTTTGAGCTGAAACCCCGCTTTAGAGTCTCTGCTATGATCTTTGAAGATGAATCACTTTACAGTACATTTAACTACAGTGGTCGGGGATGGCTTGTATGAAAACTTTTGCTGCTTGCTAAGAATACTGTATGTAATAAGATTCATGTCCATAGTCTTGGCACAGGTGTCCTATAAAAGATAAGTTCACCTTTGGAAAAATGTTACATCTTCCACCCGTATTTAGGGTGGAACATTAACTTTCCCAATGCTGCAGCCACTGCTTGATTTCCCCCCATCCCTGTGACAGCAGGAGCTGAAAACAGCGCGAACGCATGGGGCTCCGCCCATACACCGCCATGTCATTCATTCACAGTTCTGTGCATGAATGAACTAAAAGTCCCGACAGCCTTTGCGGCTGTCAGCTTGTAGTTCTCAATGAACTGCCACGGCGCTGTGATAGTTCATTGAGTCTTCCTGTCAGACTGTGTTTGCTTGCCTGTACGGGCAAGCAGATACACTGACCGTTTTCAGGAGTCCTGCATGGCACCAAAGATCTGCTGATCGCTGGTGCAATGCTTTCCAGGCTCCAAAAAAAAAAAAAATTTAGTAATCAAAAGTCCCTCAAATAAAAGGGCATTTATTATTATTTTTTTTTTTCTTGTAAGAAGTGAACTTATCTTATAAGGTTGTGTCAAATAATACAAAATCATCTGGACTCATCTCACTCTTCTTTTCACTTAAAGTATATGTGAACCCTCACCTTGTAAAACAACTCATTCAGCTTTAAAATAGAAATGAAACGCAAAACATTTGCGTATAGATATAAAAAAACATTATAAATACTTTTTTTTTTTTTTTTTCCCCTCTTTTATAAGAAATAATATACCCTCTGCTCTCAGCTGCTAGGGGAGGAGAAATAGCAGTACACTACATTTCCCAGTAAAAGGCTGTGCAGGGGGGATCTGTCAGGACAAATCTGATCTTTGGAGGAGAGCAGGCTGAGTTCCCAGCTTAGCTGGAGAACTGACCACAGTGTGTTCTGCTTAGTGTGCTCAGTTTTTAATAGGAAAGCAGAGGGACTGACAGGAACATCTGGGATTTCACACAAAGGAAGCAATATAAAGAGAACAGGATACTTTTTCATACAAGTATGTGTGGTATAGCAGGCACACATCAGCAATAAGAAACGTTAGATTTACATATTCTTTAAAACGACTATTTACTGTGATATTGAATGGGGTCATCCTCCTTTTTTTTTTTTTTTTTTTTTTTTTTTTTTTTTAATGAACTCTAGCATTCACAGTATAACTCGATACATGATGTTTTCTATTGCAGTTTGCAAGTATGTTGCTTTAGAACTGAAATCCTCTTTTGAAGAGACCTCTCGGACACATGAAGTAATTGATACTCGATATGGATTTCTAGATGACAGAAATAAGAAAAAGATCAAATACACAAACTCGTAAGTTCCTCTCAAAATAATTTCCTATGTTTGCTCTTGCCTTGGTAAACTACAGGATGTAAACCTTTTTTTCTTTTTAACCACTTGCCTACCTGGCACTTTCACCCCCTTCCTGCCCAGACCAATTTCCAGCTTTCAGCGCTGTCACATTTTGAATAACAATTGCACGGTCATGCAACACTGCACCCATATGAAATGTTTATCATTTTTTTAAGACAGGTAGAGCTTTCTTTTGGTGGTATTTAATCACCTCCTGGGTTTTTTATTTTTTGCTAAACAAACCAAAAACAACTGAAAATTTTGAAAAAAAAAAAAAAGTTTTTTTCTTTTGTTTTTTGTGATAAAATTTTGTAAGTGATTTTTCACCTTCACTGATGTGCGCTAATGAGGCTGCAGTGATGAGCACTGATAAGCTACACTGATAGGTGGCACTGATGGGCACTGATGAGGAGGCACTGGTAGGTTGTACTGATGGGCATTGACAGGCGGCACTGATAGGCAGCACTGACTGGCACTGATAGGCGACACTGGGTGGCACTGATAGGCATCACTGATAAGTGGCACTGACTGCGCGACACTGAAAGGAAGCTCAGATGGGCATTGATGTGGCACTGATGGGCACTTGCAGGTGGCATTGATGGGCACTGACAGCTGGCATTGATGGACACTGACAGGTGGCACTGCTGGGGCTATACTGATCATCAGGGCACACTGATCATCAGTGCCCTGATGATCAGTGTACATGTCCCCTCTGAGGAATGCCGATTACCAGCTCTCGTATCCTCACGAGCTGTCCGCGTGACAGCTCCTGAGGAGAGAAATACCGATAACCGGCATTTCCCTATTTACATGCTATCATCTGTGATTGGACACAGCTGGTCACATGACCGAGCCGACGTCTTCGGCTCTTTCCGTTGATCGGTGATTAGCTGTGTCCGAGGGACATAGCGCATCGCCGCGCTGTGCGCCCCCGGAGCCGTGCATGCACGGTTATGACGTCCTCCCAGAATGAGAGAACCGCCTTGTGCCCGTCATTTCCTTGTATGCGGTAAACAGCTATCTTACGTGTTTCCCACATGCTCCTATCCTAATGTAACAATTTAGTTTCTTTCTTGAAATACATTCTAAATAGGTCTGTCTTGAGATAATTCAAGACTCCAGATTGCTGGAATGAATTAATGCTGTGGCATTGATCATGTGATGGTTTCTGAAGGGAAGAAGTGAGTGCTGATTGGCTGTTTCTTGCTGAAAGTCAGCTCTCCAAGTCCTCAATTGACTTCAGTAGAGACTGGGGGAACATTACGAAAACTGGTGCACTCAGAATCTGGTGCAGCTGTGCATGGTAGCCAGTCAGCTCCAAGTTTAGTAAATACCCCCCCCCCCCCCACCCACCCAAGTGATCAATGTTTTATTTTCTCAAGAAAAGGTGCATCTATTTCACAGCTTTGTTTCTTTTTTTCAGTAAAGGGAAATTGGGCACCTTGCTGCCATGAGGGTATGCCTGAGGAATTTCATATTAGACTTGGAAATATCTAAAGATCATAAACCTAAAAGAAAACCATTTAGGGGCGAAAGGAATAGGTAGGCCAAAAAAGTAAATGTAAAGCTGATACACCAGTATGGTTCTATAAGTGAACATGGAAAAGAGAGAACCCCGGTTCTTCTGACATCTCCAAAAGCAATCACTGCTCTCAGGGTGAATAGAATGGAGGAGCTCTGTGGTCATATACCAAAAGCAGAGTATCTTATAGGAGTTTTTGTTATAAAGCGTGCAAACTGAGCTTTTGGCTGCCTGGGAACAGACAACCTGTCAAGCTTCAGGAGTCGGCTCCTCACCCAGAACCCTCTGCCAATCAAGCATGTAAAGATGCTTCCCCAAAGTTTGCATTAGATATGAATTTACTATTTTATGTATATCCAAAATTAATCCTTTCTGGGAAAGACCTACCAAAATTATTTTTTCAAAAGGGGTTAATTTGGAGAACTGTAAGGAAAGAGTGATAGTTTGGGCATAGTGTTGTATCTGTAAGTATCCATAAAATACATAGTTTGGTAACTTGAATCTGTCTTTAAACATTTCAAAGGGTAGTGCTTGGATCAACCAGGTGGCTATAATGAAATAATGAAGGAAGGAGTGCCCACATTCACAAAAACACAAGAGCACAACAACATATGCCAGCTACTACTATAGTCTCTTGGACAAACAATGAATAGCTGATGGCTGGGCTCAGTCTTTCCTTGCAGTACAATTAAATATTTTCAGTTCAGTTAGGAGCAGAGGAAGCACAGGGTTGCAAAATTGGAGAGAGGACTGCAGATGTTTCTGGCTGATTTCAGACTGTACTGATGTAGGTCACAGGAGTGCAGTTCATTCTGCACTTCTGTGATCCATTCTCAACCAACATAGGGCTAAAGCCTGCTGTTGACCAACTTTGCTCAGCTGGTCCAGGCTGGGAATGATCCCAACTTTACAGTCCGGATCAACCCAGATGCCTGTACCGGCAGCAGGATCAGACTCTGAGTGAGCTGCTGGGAGACAGAGCCAGCCGCTCCTGCACAGCCCAGCACTCCAGTTAGTGCTGGAGGGGCAGAGCAGAGAGCCGGTGACCTCTCGTCCGACATCTGTGCCTGACCTCACAAATGCGACAGTCACCAGCTGTCTGCTCCGTGAAGGCTGAGAACTGATTGATCCCTGATTGATCAGCGGTCTTTGATTGTTCAGTTCTCAGTCTTAGATGCGGCATGGGACAGATGCAGCTTCAGATCAATACTCACCTTGGTGAGTACATTTTTTTTTTTTTTTAAACCTGAACTTCTATTTTAATTTGCAGGTACAGATTGTTGCAAGTTTTAAACAGCCACCACTTGGCTCATAGGCATGGACCTCCGCTTGTTGATGGGTCTTACAAGAATTGTTGAGTATTCGCTACTGGCTCAGTTTTTCATTGGGAAAACCCTGGGATGGTCTATAGGAAAGTCTCTTTGATTTCTCCAGGAGAATCATACCTGCCTTTTTTACGTTTGGGGCAGCTCCAGTCCTGCCATGGCTGCCAAAAACATTTGGCACCCAATAATTCCTTGAGATTTCACTATCAAGGGGAGAAGGAGGTGTTGCAATCAAAATTCTGAAGGGGACCTAGCTTGGGCTTTCTGCTGGTAATTCTTTACTATATATGTAATAGTACAGTGGAAAACCATTCTAGGCAACATACAGTACAGACAAAAGAATATTGTCATCCATGGAGCAATATTATTGAGAAAGGGCCTTAGCTATATAGTGTACAAAATACACTATATTGCCCAAAGTATTTGGACCTTTGCCTTTACACGCACATGAACTTTAATGGCATCCCAGTCTTGGCTGTAGGGTTCAATATTGAGTTGGCTCACCCTTTGTGGTTATAACAGCTTCAACTCTTCTGGGAAGGCTGTCCAAAAGGTTTAGGAGTGTGCCTTTGGGAATGTTTGACCATTCTTCCAGAAGAGCATTTGTGAGATCAGGTACTGATGTCGGACGAGAAGGCCTGGCTCGCAGTCTCTGCCATCCCCAAACTGTACCCACAAAGTTGGGAGCATGAAATTGTCCAAAATGTGTGGTATTCTGACACCTTAAGAGTTCCCTTCACTAGAGCTAAAGCCCAACCCCTGAAAAACAACCCCACACCATAATTCCCCCTCTTGGCACAATGCAGTCAGACAATTACCGTTCTGGTAACTGCCAAACTTGGGACACGTCCATCAGATTGCCAGACAGAGAAGTGTGATTGGTCACTCCAGAGAACACATCTCCACTGCTGTAGAGTCCAGTAGTGGCGTGCTTTACACCACTGCATCTGACGCTTTGCATTGCACTTGGTGATGTAAGGCTTGGATGCATCTGCTCAGCCATGGAAACCCATTCCACGAAGCTCTCTACGCACTGTTGTGCTAATCTGAAGGCCACACGAAGTTTGGAGGTTACATAGTAACATAGTTAGTCTGGCTGAAAAAAGACGAAAGTCCATCCAGTTCAACCATAGAAAAAAAAAAAGTTATAATCCTATCTTCACAGTTGATCCAGAGGAAGGCAAAAAAAAAAAAAAACCCTCAGCAAAGCACGATCCAATTTGCTCCTGCTGGGAAAAAATTCCTTCCTGATTCCCTGAGAGGCAATCGGATATTCCCTGGATCAACTTTACCTATAAATGTTAGTGTCCAGTTATATTCTGTGTTTCTAAGAAAGAATCCAGGCCTTTTTTAAATCAATCCACTGAGCTGGCCAGAACCAACTCTTGAGGGAGTCTATTCCACATTCTCACAGCTCTCACTGTGAAGAAACCTTTCTGTGTTTGGAGATTAAATTTATTTTTCTCCAGATGTAAAGAGTGCTCCCTTGTCCTCTGTGATGACCTCAGGCTGAATAACTCTACACTGAGTTCACTATATGGACCACTGATGTATTTCTACATATTGATCATATTCCCCCTTAATCTCTTCTCAAGAGAGAATAAATTCAGTTCCTCTAATCTTTCCTCATAGCTGAGCTCCTCCATGCCTCTTATCAGTTTGGTTGCCCTTCTCTTTACTTTCTCCAGTTCCCCAATGTTCATTCTGTGAATTGGTGCCCAAAACTCAACTGCATATTCCAGATGAGGTATTACTAATGATTTGTTCTGGGGTAATATGATATCTCTCTCTCTGGAGTCTATACTTCTCCTAATACAAGAGAGGATTTTGCTCGCTTTAGAAACCACAAGCTTAATAATGGCAATGCCAAGCTGCGATCTACCAGAACTCCCAGATCCTTCTCCACCATTGATTCCCCCAGTTGTTCTCCCCCTAGTATGTATGATGCATGCATATTCTTAGTCCCCCAGTGCATAACCTTACATTTATCAACATTAAACCTCATTTGCAACATAGTTGCCCAATTACACAGAGCATTGAGGTTGGCTTGTAAATTGAAGACATCCTGTAAGGACGTTATTCCACTGCACAGCTTGGTGTCATCTGCAAAGACTGAAGTGGGATTTTTAATCTTAGACCCTATATCATTTATAAATATGTTAAAAAGTAAGGGTCCCAACACTGAACCTTGGGGTACACCACTGACACCCCTAGACCATTCAGAGTATGAATCATTAACCACTACTCTGAATACGATCTTTTAGCCAGTTTTCTATCTATTTACATACAGATTTTTCTAAGCCCGTAGACTTTACCTTACACATTAGCTGTGTGTGGGGAACTGTGTCAAACGCTTTTGCAAAATCCAACTATGCTTTATTCTGTCTACATATTTGTGGATCATATCGATTGTGAGCCAATGTGGATCATCTGGAGCTGTGTCAATACCATGCCCATTATGGACAAGAGCTCCCCTATGCTACTTGTTATACACAAAGTTGAAGAAAGTATTTAATACATTTGCGTTCTTTGTCCCCAGTCACCCACTCTAGATTATTTTGTAAAGGGCCTACATGCTCATACCGGACCTTTTTACTATTAATATATTTGAAGAATTTTTTGGGGTTGGTTCTGCTATCTTTTGTAATCGATCGTTTTCAGTCTATTATATTCTTTGTAATTTTTAAATGATGATAGCATTCCTTCATTTTTATATTGAATAAAAGCTCTTTTCTTATCTATAGCCTTTTTAACTTTGGCTGTAAGCCACATATGTTTGATTTTTAGCCTTTTAAACTTTTTGCCCATGGGAATATATTTTGCAGTGTGTTCACATATAGTCTTTTTGAAGAACTCTCATTTCTGTGTTGTGTTCATCAATGCCAATATTCCTTCCCAGTCTAAGTCTTGGAGAGCAGCTCAGTCTTGGAAATGAAAATTAGCTCTCTTGAAATTGAGCGTTTTTTATTTTTCCCATATGTTCTTGCTGTTTACAGCTAACAATAAATTAAATCATGTTATGGTCACTGCTAACTATGTTCTTTTATATGGACATTTGTAATAAGCTCTGCATGGTTTGAGATTACCAGGTCCAGCAGAGCATCATTCCTAGTAGGGGCCTCTATGAACTGTACCATAAAATTGTCCTGTAGTAGGCTTAAAAATGTTTGCCCTTTAACTGTTCCTGCAGTACCATTACTCCAGTCAATTTCCGGGTAGTTAAAATCCCCCATTATTATCACTGTCCCAGGCTCTTGTAGCTCTTTCGATCTATGCAAGGAGCTGAGTTTTCACCTCCTCATTAACACTGGGAGGCCTATAACAAACTCCAATGATTACCTTTGTAGCACGCACCCCCATGTGCAGTTCCACCCATAATACTTCAGCCTCATCACACTCTCCATCAACTAGGTCCTCTTTTACACTCGCTCTGAGATCACTTCTCACATAGAGACAGACACCACCACATTTCCTATTTACTCTGTCTCTCCGAAAGAGAACATAGCCAGGAATATTAATGGCTCAGTCATGCAAAGAATGAAGCCAAGATTCAGCAATACCAATTAAATCATAGTTCTCTTCATGCAACAAAACTTCCAACTCACCTATTTTGCTTGGCAGACTTCTGGCATTGGTGAACAAACAAATCTTTAGCTATTGACTGTGCAGGCAGTTTGCGACTTCTGTGTACTTCAGCATGGGCTGACCCCGCTCTGTCATTTTTCGTGGCTGAGTTGCTGTTGTTCTCAGTTGCTTCCACTTTGTTATAATACCACTAACAGTTGAGCGTGGAATATTTAGTAGCAAGGAAATGTCACAGATGGACTTGCATAGGTGGCAACCTATCACGGTACCACGCTTGAATTGACAGCGCTCCTGAGAGCAACCCATTCTTTCACATATGTTTGTAGAAGCAGTCTGCATGCCTAAGTGCTTGATTTTACACACCTATGGCCATGGAGGTGATTAGACCACCCGAATCCAATGATTTGGAGGGCTGGCCCAATACTTTCAGCAATAGTGTATATGGTTTCATCTGTTTTGTTACTTTTCTTTCTACTGCTATTGCTAGTTGCTTCTAACCATTTTGCACTTCATTTTTTTTAAAGGGTTTTTTTTTTTCATGCTGTTTTGATCTAATTGTGTTTTATCAGTGTTGGCAGCAGTATGGCCCTGGCACAATCATATCTGTACAGATTTCTGTTATCCAAGTCTTCTCCCACTTACAGCAAAAGTAACTGGAAATTTGTCTTGTTTTCAGAGATATCCGTCTGATCGATGTCACAGAAGGCCTCTGTCAAAGACTGTTGGAGTACAACCTTCACAAAGAGCGAACTGGCAGCAATCGCTTTGCTAAGGTATTTTAATGCACTAACACAAGTCTTCCCATTTGCTAAAGGGGAACTTTACCACCTAAAATAAAACTGCAAACAGGCAGGATTTTTACTGCACAAGAGGCATACTATGTCTCTTCTGCATTAAAGCTACTTACCTGCCTCTGCACTGTACACTGTGCATGCGCAGCTCAGTGTGCAATTTCTGTGTATAATTTCTGCAATACCGAGATGACTGAACTTCTGCAAATGTGCCCTGCCAATGATCCCATAAACCCCCAGGCTGAAGATGTCAGTGGATGGTGGGAAGATCCAGGACATCACAGCGCTGCAGAGAAGGTGAGTGTAGTTCTGCTTTAAAAGTACCTGTATAAGGCAACAAAAGATGTATTTTCAATAACCCCAAAAATATCAGTGTGGCTTTTGACTATTAAACTACAAGAATTACGTAAAAGGCTCCAGTGGGTTTTGTATCTGTATAAGTTTGCAGCAGATGGCTGTCTGTAGACAGCAGACATGAGTTGCAGCAGAATCTAAAGGTTACCAGGTTACCGTAGCTATTTTTATTAATTCATATAGGTATGGTGGATGAAGAGGAGCATCAATCTGCATGCTTAGAATTGCAAATGTGTACTTTCAAAAGCAGATTTTTCTTTTCGCAGCCTTCTTACTAAATGTTTAACTGCTATTAAGGCTGAAAATGCAATATGCTACTTCACAGGATTTTTTTTTTTTTTGTCCAAGAAATACATATATAAATAAACAACAACAAAATTAACATACATAAACAATCATGTCATTTACATGTGTGAAAAGCAGATATTTACTTTATCTGTATAAGTTTGCAGCAGATATTTACTGTGTACTCCTGGTTATAAAATTCCCTATTTTTTGCTTACTTGAGACATTTGGCCATGTTCGTAAAACCATGCATATCATTGCAACTATTTTGTGTATCCAGGTGGATTATACCTTGTTTTTTTTTCAGGACAAATTGGGCTTTCCTTTTGTGGTAAATGGTAACCGATATCTCCCTGATCTCCCTCTATATAAGAAAATATACTGCTAAGTTTAAAAAAAATCTGACTTGGGACCAGTTTTTTCCTTTTTTGATTTAAAAAAAAAGAAAACCCATACATATATATATATATATATATATATATATATATATATATATATATATATATATATATATATATATATATATATATATATATATATATATATATATATATATATATATATATATATATATATATATAAATAAATTTTCTTTAATCAAAGGACAACTGGCCCCAAATCAGATTTTTTTTAAATAGCTGTATATTTCTTGCTACTACCACCACTTACCAGCGAAGAACAACCCAAAATAAATTCTCCTGCTCCTGATGATCGCAGTGATACAACATATGTGTGTATTTGTTGTTTGTACCCGTAGTACGGCCCAGAAACAATAGTGCGCTTTGTTTCCTTTTTTTTTTTTTTTTGTTTCCTACCTAAAACACACTGACACTGATCCTAGCTTAAAAAAATGCTTTTTAAACAAAAAAAAAAAATATTGCCCAAAATATACTGACCATGACCTTTGATCCCAAATAGCTATTCATTTAGCTTTTTTTAATTTTATTTTGTTTATACATTCGTTTGTTTATAGCTTCTCCCTGCAATGAGAGAGAGGGATACAATGTATCTGTCTCTCTCCAGTCAGAAAGTAAATGCATGGGTAGGCTGTATAGTGCCTGATCACTTTGATAGCCAGTCAGAGGGTATCGCGTGATCAGGTGACCCAGAACTGGAAGTCCTGGTCAGTCCTGTTAGTATGGGACCTGGGGTTCTCAGTGAGAGCCCAGTCTCTTTGCTGGGAGCACACTGTGTGGACTCACTCCCAGCATAAAGACAGATATGTTCCGAGATTGTAAGCTCGTAAGAGTAGGGCCCTCTTACCCCTCGTACGTTGTTTGTTGTTGTTGTACTGTGCCATGTATTGTCCCCCCTATTGTACAGCGCTGAGCAAACCCTTTGGCGCTATATAAACTCGTAGTAATAATAATAATATATGTGACCCCATGGAAAAAAAGCCCAGGCCACACATGTGTATGGTCGGCGGGAAGGGGCTAATGTTCTTTGGGGGTTTACATTAATATTTGACATTTAGTATTTCAATCTAGAGCGTGTCAACCCTAACAATGAACATCTTTTATTTGCTCCCTTTTTTGTTTTGTTTAAAATTCCATTGAAAGTATCTTTCTACCTCTGGTTACACTCCTCAGAACAGGGGTCTATTGACAACTCGGTAACCCTTCATTCACTTGTACTATGGGATAAACTCAAGGGTTCATTCAAACTAGTGTTCCCCCCACTGCCCTCTTGTCTTTTTTTTATATCCATCCATGCTTCTATCTGGCCTGTCAACCCAGTCTCATTTAGGCTTTGGAAACACTTAGGCTTGTCCCGATTATGCGTGCTGGATACTGTCATGGCCCTGAAATCCTTCTCTGCTCTACAACAAGCTCAAATCTCAGGAAGGGAACCTTTCCATTACTTACAGTGATCCTATTTTTTCACCCCATATATTAATACACATTCTTTTTTAACAAGTGACACTCTTGAGGGTATCTTTAACATGGATCCGCATGCCCTGGGCATAATCTCCAAATTGTATTCCCATCTCACAGAAGCACCTTCTAACTTTCCTTCCTATGCCACCACTTGGACCTCAGACTTGGCATACACCTAGTGAAGGAGAAATGTGATGGTATTTGGGCAACAACTAAATTTTCCTCACAGAATATGTTGAAAATAGAAACTAACTACAAAGTTTTATTGCTGGTTCACACCACAAAAACGCACTGCAGATATGTGCCGGATGCATCTTTGCTTACAGTTCACACCACATTTACTCACTCCAGATGCGTTTCTGCATGCTTGTTTTTTTTATGCGTTTGATGCATTTTTTATGCTTTCCAGTGCATTTTTTTCCCCAAGGTTTCCTGGGGTTTTTCTTTTCATGTGATGTGTTCCAGTGTGTTTTTGATGCGTTCCAGTGCAGCTTTGATGCATTTTGCCATATCCAGTACAGTTCTGTGCAGAGAAAATGCAGCATGTACTCCTTTATTTCCTGCACTGGAACTGACTGCACTGGTATGAACTATTCCATTGAAACCCATATAATCTATTATATGATCTGGCATGCAATCAGTTCTGTGATCAGGGAAGAAGACTGTGTACAGCCCGAGCACCTCCAGACACAGCTACATACTACTTCCAGAGGAGGGAAGCCTTTACCTGGAGGGAATCTTCTGTCCGGCTGACTCATCTTCATCCTAAGGAGGCCCTGTAAGTCCAGCAGATCGGTTGATGACACCTCTCCCTGGGGGATAACGACATCTGTAGGATTTGATATACACATGCGCATTTCCTATGTGCGGTCGGTGAGTGCGCATTTCTGCCATTTTCCCAGATCACTCTAAGTTGTGTCCACCACATTCACGGACCGATTTGCATTTTTGAATTTATTGATAGAACTTTTTATATCTAACTTTTTATTCTGTTTTTTTAGCGCTGCACTTTATTTTATTGCTTATACCAGAGGTGGTTGTGATTACCTCTAGTGCTATTAGCTGCTTATTTATCTCCTCAATATTAGCGCTCACTGTGTTACACATATAATCTATTATCCATGTGTTTTTGATGAAGAAGAAAAAATGCACTGGAAATTTTTGCCAATCTATCCCTCTGTTTGTTTTTGGGGATGTGGAGAAAGGGGCACACATGCCTGTATTTGGTGGATATGCCCGATGTGCAGTAATTTTGGGCTGAAGTTTTCAAGATGGTATCCACTTTGGTTAAGCTACCCTTGTCACACCCTGCATTTGTCTTGCTTAATCATTGTGCTCATGAGTTAATGAGGGCCCAGCTGAAACTCTCTATACAAATTTTGACAGAAAGGGCCTGGAAGACCCCAACACTTTGTATCTTGTTGGCTAAAAATTGAAGCACACAGGCTACGATACATAGTAAAATTGAGGCCATGATAATGGATAAGATTCCTAAACGTCTCAGTCTGGCATCTTTGGGTGGCCCATTTTCTCCCACCAGGCTTTGACTCCTCACTTCTAGAACTGTAATTCCTTTGGCCCTAGCCTAGTGAGTCGGTTAAGCCCTGGGCCTACTGGGAGCCGCCAACCTCTCTTCCCTCCTTTTCTTCTACCTTCCTCTTCTTCTTTTTTCCCTTTTTCTGCTACAGTATTAGTAGCTTGTAACTGGGGTTTTCATAATATCTTTTTACCTCATTCTCCTCAGATGGAGTGCAATGCTAACATTCCATCAATGTGATTGTTACAAATGGTTTGGGAGGATTATTTACAGTAATACTTATTCCATTGGAAATGTGTGGATAATCCGTTCTCTTTTGTAATCTTGACCTTATTGTGGTTTTGTATGTTTTTTACTTTATTTTGTTAATGAGAATATTGAATAAGAAAGTGCCTGTCTTGTTATATCTGTTTTATGATGGTTATAGATGCCTATTGATCCTGACAGGAATCCAGGGAGCTGATACCTTTTTGTGCTCTCTGCTGCACCTTTTAATGGTTAAAATTTTTCATGGCTCAGGCCACCTTGTTATGGAGTAGGGGAGTTGTTCTGTAGTCCTGGCAAAGTTCCTCTGATGGGGTGACAACATTGTATAGAGTTTGTTATGGCCATCTCAGTGGATTGCTTTAAAAAGGCCTGGATTCTTTCTTGGATACACAGAATATAACTGGATACTAACATTTAAAGGTAAAGTTGATCCAGGGAATATGCGATTGCCTCTCTGGGAATCGGGAAGGATTTTTTTTTTTCCCTGTAGGAGTAAATTGGATCATGCTTTGCTGGGTTTTTTTTGCCTTCTTCTGGATCAACTGTGGGTGTAGGATTATAACGTCCCTTTTTTTTTTTTTTTTTTTTTTTTTTTTATGGACTAGATGGACTTGTCGTTTTTTTTTTTTTTGTTTTTTTTTTTTCAGCCAAACTATGTAACTATGTATACCCCTGGGTATATATTACATTTTCTTGGAAACCATTTTGTAAGGGATGAGTTTTTTTGTGCCTTTTTCCTATTGTTTTAAAATGTTATTAGCTATAACGCTTAATACTGATGGTGGGACACCATTTGTGTTGTGATAGTCTTTAATGGAAATCAGTCTTTGCTTGTCACTTTTTATTGCTCAGGGGATGTCTGAAACCTTCCAAACTTTGCATCACCTTGTCCATAAAGGAGTGAAAGTTGTGATGGATATTCCATATGAACTCTGGAATGAAACTTCCGCTGAAGTTGCTGATATGAAGAAACAGGTAAATGGCAAAAGAAGGTAAAAGAACAGAATTAAACTATACAGTTGAAGCATCGACTGTCCATAAAGAGTCAGATACACTGTACTGACCACACATATCAGGACTGTTGCCTGTCCAATGTCTCATTCTAAAATGAAGAGTTTCGATATGACCATAGTGCTCTCTTTGCTGTTTCAGCAGTCTGCTATCATGAAAAGGCTTTTCTTGAGATGTCAGCCAACTTGGCCAGAGTACAGATATGGATTACATGGTGAAAGGAAAAATGAATATAATATAAGGTACCACGCTCTATTTAGGACTAATGGTTGCTTACTCACTTGTGGTGGTGACTATGTACTCTCTACAGTATAGTCATGAACAGTTTATAATATGATGAAATGAGATAGCATATCTCTATAGTTAATAATACTAAAGAAACTAATATATTAATTATTGTGATATTATCTGTGAAAAACAGAAAAAAATAAATTAAATATATTCACCTAATTAATTTTGAAAAATTCAAATTGTGTGTGCTACTTGAAAATATACACTCTAATTATAAATTAGACAAAAATAAAAATGTGTATAGAAAAATAAAAATAAAATATATATAATACATTATGTATATTATAATAATGCTAAAAATATATTGTGAATAAAAATTCCAATGAGAAAATATTTTTTCCAATGAAAAGAAAGTCTTAACCAACTTTGTGCAGAGTTCAATGAAATAGTTAATGCGATGTGTTCTCTTCCCAAACAGCCTGCTGATTTATGGGTGTAGTCTGTGTAGAGAAGATACTTCAGTGTTAGCCCAATGACAGGCAGACCTCTCCCTCCTTGGAGCGCTCCTTATTCCTGCTCTCCGTTATTCCTCATTTTAGCCATGTAAAAAGAAAAATGACATAGTGTCTTATCCAGGGGCGGACTAACCATTTGGAAGCTCGGGCACTGCCCGAGGGCCCAGGGTCAGTAGGGGGCCCGATGAGATGCCCCTGGTACCTTTTTTCATAGGCTTTTTTGAGTTTGGGCAAGGACACAGGGGCCCCATGATCCCCTATTGCCCGGGGGCCCCATGAGTTGTCAGTCCGCCCCTGGTCTTATCATAAATAAACAGTGGATTTTATTAAGTGCCCAATATGCACTCACATTTAAAAGGATTAATCACGCTTTGTATAAAAAGCTGCTGCAAGCGGTGATGACCAGCCTCTTTAGTGTGTCGGCACACACTGACAATACTCGCCGTGTGGGTAGTCTGATCACTGGTGACCTCTCTGCCCCTCCCCTACGCGTTACGCTACAGCAGTGTTTCTCAACTCCAGTCCTCATGGACCCCCAACAGTCATGTCATGATTTCCATTATTTTGCACAGGTGATTTGATCAGTTTCACTGCCTTAGTAATTACCACAGCTGTTTCATCTGAGGGAAATCCTGAAAACATGACCTGTTGGGGGTCCATGAGGAATGGAGTTGAGAAACACTGCGCTACAGGGACTCGTAGCTTCATCTGGGGGATGTAGCTGCTTTTTATACAAAGCGTGATAAAATTTATGATCAGATACTATGTCATTTTTCTTTTTACATGGCTAAAATGAGGAATAATGGAGAGCAGGAATAAGGAGCGCTCCAAGGAGGGAGAGGTCTGCCTGTCATTAGGCTAACACTGAAGTATCTTCTCTACACAGACTACACCCATAAATCAGCAGGCTGTTTGGGAAGAGAGCACATCGCATTAACTATTTCATTGAACTCTGCACAAAGTTGGTTAAGACTTTCTTTTCATTGGAAAAAAAATTTTCTCATTGGAATTTTTATTCACAATATATTTTTAGCATTTCTTATAATATACATAATGTATTATATATATTTTTTTTTTTTATTTTTCTATACACATTTTTATTTTTGTCTAATTTATAATTAGAGTGTATATTTTCAAGTAGCACACACAATTTGAATTTTTCAAAATTAATTAGGTGAATATATTTCATTTATTTTTTCTGTTTTTCACAGATAATATCACAATAATTAATATATTGGTTTCTTTAGTATTATTAACTATAGAGATATGCTATCTCATTTCATCATATTATAAACTGTTCATGACTATACTGTAGAGAGTACATAGTCACCACCACAAGTGAGTAAGCAACCATTAGTCCTAAATAGAGCGTGGTACCTTTATATTATATTCATTTTTGTCAATATTTGACTCACATTTATGAGGGTGAGCAAGGAAGCCAGCGCCCATATTAATATTTTTTATAATTTATTTTATACACTACAAATTTGTTTTGCATAAAGATCTAGAACACACACTCCAGTGGCTCACAAGTAATTTTTACATAATATGGTGAAAGGAAAGTTATAATTTATGGAAAAAAGAGCAGTTGTTATCTAGTTAGAGATATTCTAATACAGGCGAATGTTTCTGCAAGCCATGAGAAGCTCTCACATGCTAGTGGAAAAAGGGAAGACACAGCGGCACCACTTTTTGTGTAAATGATAGATAAAATCAACAATTTAATAAGTTTAAGAACTCAAAAGTATAGGTGAGAAAAGGGCATATCATGGTGCAGTAGTCCAGGCAGTGCTGCGACTGGGTCCTGTGTAGTCCTCATCGTCCCGACCACTCTGGTGGTGTCCAGGGCTCTGGGGATAGCTAGACACCACCAGAGTGGCCAGGACAACAAGGAGGACTACACAGGACCCAGTCACAGCACTGCCTGGACTTATTGCACCATGATATGCGCTTTTCTCACCTACAATTGTGAGTTCTTAAACTTATTAAATTGCTGATTTTATCTAACCTCTACACATAGTGGTGCCACTGTGTCTTCCCTTTTTATGTCTGTGTACTAGAGTTGCTTCCTGATCTGACAGCCGGCTGCCTTCTACCCCAAGACTTAATTCCATCAAGGAGATACCTTCCAGTCCTGGACCTATACCCAATAGGACATTGCCAGATTATATATGTCTGCCAGTTTTACCACACATGTACAGACTCAACTTTTCACCTGTACTCTGTTCATATAAACATTGTTAGAATATACAATCAGGTCCATAAATATTGGTACATCGACACAATTCTAACATTTTTGGCTCTATACACACCACAATGGATTTGAAATGAAACGAACAAGATGTGCTTTAACTGAAGACTGTCAGCTTTAATTTGAGGGTATTTACATCCAAATCAGGTGAACGGTGTAGGAATTACAACAGTTTGCATATGTGCCTCCCACTTGTTAAGGGACCAAAAGTAATGGGACAATTGCCTTCTCAGCTGTTCCATGGCCAGGTGTGTGTTATTCCCTCATTATCCCAATTACAATGAGCAGATAAAAGGTCCAGAGTGCATTTCAAGTGTGCTATTTGTATTTGGAATCTGTTGCTGTCAACTCTCAAGATGAGATCCAAATAGCTGTCAGAAGAAGGAACGCACAGGTAAGCTCAGCAACACCAAAAGACTCGGAAGACCACGAAAAACAACTGTGGTGGATGACCGAAGAATTCTTTCCCTGGTGAAGAAAGCACCCTTCACAACAGTTGGCCAGATCAAGAACACTCTCCAGGAGGTAGGTGTATGTGTGTCAAAGTCAACAGTCAAGAGAAGACTTCACCAGAGTGAATACAGAGGGTTCACCACAAGATGTAAATCATTGGTGAGCCTCAAAAACAGGAAGGCCAGATTAGAGTTTGCCAAACGACATCTAAAAAAGCCTTCACAGTTCTGGAACAACATCCTATGGACAGATGAGACCAAGATCAACTTGTACCAGAGTGATGGGAAGACAAGAGTATGGAGAAGGAAAGGAACTGCTCATGATCCTAAGCATACCAGTTCATCAGTGAAGCATGGTGGTGGTAGAGTCATGGCGTGGGCATGTATGGCTGCCAATGGAACTGGTTCTCTTGTATTTATTGATGATGTGACTGCTGACAAAAGCAGCAGGATGAATTCTGAAGTGTTTCGGGCAATATTATCTGCTCATATTCAGCCAAATGCTTCAGAACTCATTGGATGCCGCTTCACAGTGCAGATGGACAATGACCCAAAGCATACTGCAAAAGCAACCAAAGAGTTTTTTCAAGGGAAAGAAGTGGAATGTTATGCAATGGCCAAGTCAATCACCTGACCTGAATCCGATTGAGCATGCATTTCACTTGCTGAAGACAAAACTGAAGGGAAAATGCCCCAAGAACAAGCAGGAACTGAAGACAGTTGCAGTAGAGGCCTGGCAGAGCATCACCAGGGATGAAACCCAGCGTCTGGTGATGTCTATACGTTCCAGACTTCAGGCTGTAATTGACTGCAAAGAATTTGCAACCAAGTATTAAAAAGTGAAAGTTTGATTTATGATTATTATTCTGTCCATTACTTTTGGTCCCTTAACAAGTGGGAGGCACATATGCAAACTGTTGTAATTCCTACACCGTTCACCTGATTTGGATGTAAATACCCTCAAATTAAAGCTGACAGTCTGCAGTTGAAGCACATCTTGTTCGTTTCATTTCATATCTATTGTGGTGGTGTATAGAGCCAAAAATGTTAGAATTGTGTCGATGTCCCAATATTTATGGACCTGACTGTATACCTGGGGCTGTATTTTAGTGCTCATCCCCCTTCTCCTTTTATGTTCTCCCATGCTTGTGACTGCTTATTCCAAATCATGTTAACACCAGTTTTTCTGTCTGATGTAATTAAGCTGATAGAATGAAAACTCACTGGATAGTTCTCCAACTTGGAACCATCTATTGAGGGTTCTTCTCAACAAATATGTAAATAGATTGCCAAGCATTTAATTTTATTCAGACCAGTACCAGCTTAAACTCTATTTGAACTCTTCTGTTAAATTGGCTAAATACGTTCCAAGTGCATCGAAACAGTGTTCAGTATCTGACAGTTAATCTTCTTCCTGTTTTCTTTCTAAAACAGCTATAGCTGTGGAGAAGCAGTAGTGTCTCTGCAGAGGTGCAACATGCTCCCTTCATAGTTATACCTACAGCTCTGCAATCAGAAAAGCTCATTGGAGGGTTTGGCTCTTACTCAGATGGCATGTTTGACCTACCTGGCCACGCAGCTGCATGCTAAAAGAGTACCAGCTTTTTTTCTCCGGCTATAGCTGCCTTAGGAAATTAACTGTAAAATATTAAGCACCTTTTTGTTTTAATGGACTCCCCTCTCCTAGGAAAAGCCATGCATAATGTATGGCCTACCTAAGGGACACCGCATCCTGTTCTGCTTGTGTAGGAGGAGGTGCTAGCTCTCCTAATCTGAGAATAAAAACGTTCATTAGTTAAAGTGAATCTTCATCTGATCCATCCCCTGTGTTTTTTTTTTTTTTTTTCGGTTTTTTTTTTTTTCGGTTTTTTTTTTTTTTCCCCCTGCCCTACTCACCTTAAGGTGTTATCTGCAGGTTTCAGATACTCACCCATTCAACAGATGCAGCGTTGTCTAGCTGAGATCCTCTCAAGCCTGACCACAGCTCTGTCCCACGCCACCATGTTCTTTCTGGTGGCCTACCTGCTCTTCCTGGTTCAGCGGGTGTGCCTTCCGATGACACGCTTATAGGCCCGCCCCCTCTATGGAAGGCTATGCCTCCTGGGATGCCTAAGGCGAATGATGTGCATGGGGAGGCAGGAGCTGGACTTTTTTACTGAAAAAGAAAAAAATATTGTGAAACCTGTTGAGTGGAGGGAAGTATTGGAAAAGGTCTGCTTCAACTACTTTTCACTAGATTTTCTTTTTTTTTTTTTTTCTTTCACTAGGATCATCTGTGTATTTAATTGCTAATGGTTTTTATTATTCATATTCACATATAAAATAATGACCAAGATAGCCATATCTGAAAGGCAGAGTATTAAAGCTGAACCCCAGTTTGATATAAAAGATCCTCCTTAATGGAGCTATATTCAGTGATACAACATCGTTTAAATGTTTTTTGTTTTTTTCTATTTAACCTGAATATGACTTCGTAGCAACCTCTTATGGTCCCTGTACATTGGTGCTCAAACTGGGAGAGGGTGAAGCAAAACCAGCAGGAACAATACCGTTGTGTTGCAGTGCTTATGTGTGGAACATGCTAAATGGGACATGCTAATAAGAGAGAAGGGCAGAGATGTCCTTTTTAAGGTTCACTTACATGGACAAGACTTGTAAATGTTAATTGACTGCAGCAGAGAAAAATCTGCCAGACAGGGCTGTGCATGTGTAAAGGTGGCCATAGATGACTTGTGTTTTAGGATCAGCCCCAAGGCTGAACTGAAAAAATCAAACAGATTCCTCCATAGAGAAATCCTTCCCACTGGGATATTGTATTCTGACAGCAGGATTCTCCACTGTCAGAAAACACTGATCAGCAGCTGCAGCTGGCCTATCGATAAAAATGTTCCAGCAAGCCCATTTGACAGCCATTGATATAAAGACTGACTTCTGGTAATTTAGTCATGGCCGCATATGGATCGCAATTCGTCCAATCCTTACTGAACCAACCTAATTTGGATCCATCTATGGCCAGCTTAATTCTCAGGACTGGATGGTCAGAAATCCAAACCTTTAGCAGGTTAAAGATCTTAGCAGATTAAAGATGTGCATGCTTTTGTGCGTTTTTAGCTGTTTGTTTCCCACATAGACCAATCATCTCCTTTCATAGGTTTACTTTTACTGAACACAGTGCTATAAACCAATGGTTTTAACTTGGAGTACACACCAGGACATATAAGGGTATATGAAAAAATGTAGTAATGGTGTCATTGGTTGCTAGGAAGCAGGTGGGTGGGTAGCACAGCGACGCGTTTCCTTGGGTCTGGTGGCCTGCATCATGCCTATGCAGGACGGGGCAGAATTAATGTCCCTTTTGGGAGCCCCTTGCTCCACCTCTTGCTGTCTGTGACACTGCCGGTCTGCTTTTCTCACAATTCTTGCCATGCAGCCCATTCTTTCTGGGTACTGTAGTGTCTACTCCCTGCAAAAAGCAAAGCACTGTGTGCCCACTCTTCACTCTCGACTGGCCTTCCTATTAGTAAGCAAGACAGTAGACTAATGCCTGGTGAGCTTTAATTGTAAATACCAATGCCTGGTGAGCTTTAATGGTAAATACCAGCAGAGTGATGATATCAGCTGTGCTGTGCTCGGCCCTTAAATTACTTGCTATCTCTGCAAAGTGTACAGTTGTGTGAATGTCAGAAGACTGCAGGTGAGGAAGAGGAGAAAACGCACACACATTGATGGTTGACCTAAAGGGAGCACAGGCTGCAGGACATGCCCACTGGAGATGGAATGAGGTGCAGTAATACTTATGCACTCAAGTACTGACAAGTACAGATGTTGGTGTCCTTTGGCGTATTAGCTCCACTCCCAACTCCGCTCCCTATTCCACACTCTATCCAAGGGGGTACAGTTGTGGAGATGGACTGCGAAGAAATAAGCAAGTGAAAAATGTTTTGGATCCACTGCTGTAAATAATAGGTGAAGAATTTTTAAGACCATTAGGTTGTATTTACGCCAACATTCTAATTTTTATCACAGCTGTGACATTGTTTGTGTTAAAGAAAATGCAACCATGATTTATCCGCCTTCAGACATAGAAATTTCTTTCTGTACTAACTCCTATTTCAGAAGTACATTTTCTATGCCAGTACACTATTTTTACTACAACCTTTTTCTTTCTTTTCTTTTAACAATCAGTGTGATGTCATGATGGAGGAGTATGAAGATGTCATCGAAGACTGGTATCGAAACCACCAGAAGGATGATCTTACGGAGTTTCTGTGTGCAAAACATGTCTTAAAGGGACAAGACAAAAGTAAGTTTGACTTATCTCTTTTTGACATCTTTTTTACTTAGTTTTCTATAAATAGAGAGAGAACACATGCCTCAGTTACCCGTGGTGATCGGTCGTATTGTAAGCTGTCATTCTTCCAGTGCAGGTCATGAAGTAAGTGTGTGTTTTTAAACTTCAGCTTGGGCTATTGGGCTCTGTAATGGACTTTTTACAATAGGAGGGAAGGAGAAACGGGACACCACTGTACATAAAATGTAAGTTGGCAATACAGCTTACATGATTTCTTTACATTTCCTCTTAGGTTTACAGACAACTGTGTAGAGGTGATGTGAGTATCTAAGCATTCTTTACAATTCACATTCAGTCAGATACGTCTACGCATTGGTTGTTTGTAAATCCAGATGAGATTGCACAATGTGTTATGAGTATGACCAGCTAAACTACTGTGGTCAGTACAGGAGGTAATAAAATAAATCTTTCCATTGGGGGCACAGATTACAGTAAAATACATTTTTGCTGCTGGGCAAGGGAGGGAACCACTCCCTTTTTATATCCTATTCTCGTCACATTGTGTAAGAGTGAAACCAGCAGGAGCTGCTCGCTCTTCAGACTGTCTCTGTAAATAAACATTCAGCCCCATCTGAACAGGGGAGTGGGGATGGGCTATATTTTTTATTTTTTGTACTTTTATTTATATATTTTGTTTATTGTTCATGCTTTATGGTCCACACTTGATTACATATCAAAGGACATGCATTTGTGTTGCGGACATACATATACATATATATATATATAATTTTTTTTTTTTTATTTCTATGACACCCATGCCCCTCCTCCTGGCCGGGGACAGCCCTGCCCAGATGGGAGGGCCCTCACTTGGTCCCATGGTATAAATGGGAAGGGGTACTCACTGTGGAGTTGGCTATGATGAAGAAGGGTCTCCCTTCGAAACGTGTCAGCCTCACTTTGAGAGTCTACCCTCATGACATGACTCACATTGGCTCTACACTCCCCAGTTCCTTTGAGGATCTTGTTTTACATCCTTGTTTGTGAGTATATATATTTTATTTAATAAAATCACTGAATTACTGAGGTAATGCGCTAGGTTGGTGCGCTCTTTCTTTTTGCTTCACTTCACAGTATGAGTGGGGATGGGCTTCAGCTCTGACTCATTAAATTGTGTATGTACATTTACACTTGTACTATTAAAAAAAAAAAAACTTTTTTTTTTTTTTTTTTTTTTTTTTTTTTTAACAGAGCAACTAAGAATGGGTAAATGGAGAGGTGGGGGGAACCCAATGCGTTGCTTACTGGTTAGAAATAAAAATACGAAATGGTATATGCACTATTTCATGTTTACTTGACAGTAATGCTTTAGCACTCTGCATAATTATAACAGTAAGCAAACTTCATATATGTATCCTTTTTAATATGATCCTTTGTAGTCAAATTAAGCTGGGCATTTAGTGCTGTTACATGCTCTTCTATGCATGGTTGTACTGGGTATTTTCTTTGGCTTCCAAAAGTAAACAGAACATTAGGGGAATGAAGGAAAAGTAAGTATAGACTGCTGGGGATGGGTAGGTAGTACACCATACTGGAGAAGCACACATTAATTAAATAAGTCCTTTTTATTTTTTTTTTTTATCATGATTGCTTACACTTGCAGGTTGTCTGGATGAAAAAATGGAGTGGTAAGAAGGGAGATTCTGCTCCTTCCACTGGTAAAAAGAAACCATCAAATAAGGGGAGCAAAAAGAAAACCAAGAAAGCCAAAGAAAACTCAAAGAATAAGAAGAACCCTGAAAGGTCATCTGCAGAAAACATAGAGGTACCTGAAACTCAGACTTCTGAAAGCAGGCCTAATGATGAACTTTGACACCGCTCGGCCAGACTTGGTAGGTTACATGAACCCCTTCATCCCAGACATATTTCTGGGATCTGATACTCCATTCTTCCTGCTCAGCTCAACAGATGTCCATCACAGGAGGGTAATGAAGGAACGTTATAGTATATCACTTCTGGGTGCTTTGTGATCTGGCTGTCAAGGATACTGTATGACTTGTTGGTCTCACCTTTTTGAGCTATTTCTTATTGACTCCTGTATGGATGAAAAGGGCCAAGCCTACTGCTATCCAGCCAACTGTGCATTTTGTAACTGGTTAGGCCAACCAAAAAGTGTTATTTTAGCTCTGAGATCCTATGGTATACCGCACTCACCAGCCTCTTAATCTATTTGGAAAATAACTTTGTACCCAGCTTCCCAGCTTTGCCGTTCTGCTAAACCCCTGTACCCAGCTACCAGTCGTCCGAGTCCAGAATCCCAGCTCTGCCCCTCTGCCATGGCCATTATGAGATGTGTGTTGTTTTTTTTTTCTTGTAAGCCCTATTGCTGTGGCTGGCAAACTAAACTAGAAGCTTGTGATTGTGAGAAATTTACTTTGGTGTCCCCAAAAGATAGGAGCAACTAGGTAGGCTGTTACACTGACATCTTTTCAAACCAAAATACCATTTGTGGACAGAATTTGGCTTTTAACAGGCTTTCTGATTCATAGAAGGCATTCTGTCAGTGTTATTCTTTACTAAAAAATCCCTGCAGCTAGCTGGTCTTGGCTGTGTCCTCTACTCCTTCATATTGCCCACAGCTGTTCCTTTCTTTTAAAGGGTCAATACCTTTAAACCTTATATTTGTTATGGGTGAGGGTTTGTCGGTTCCGTCACTCGCTGGACTCTTACATCTCCTTGGGAGCCTAGGTAGTGAAAAATCTGCATCTAAGTTCATAGCTACTGCCAAAGTGTTTCCTTTCAAAGGATTCTTGTTCTTTTTAGAGTGAAATCTGGAAGGAAGATCTCACTGTTGGGAACCTCCTATAGAAATAGATGCCAGTGGATGATTTAGCCCATCAGCATCCTCACATAACCAAAATGTCAGTTTTGCGTAAACTGACCCTTTATTTTCACATTTGAGCCTCACAAGCTTTATCTGTATGGTACTGTAATTTGAATGCTTCTTTTCGCAGTCACATTTGTATTACGTATAGAGTTTTTTTTCCTCATTATTTTGATCCCCCAAGTATCTTAGGATGGCCTTTGTGACTTGTTGCAATTAATCAGCTTCTAACGTGCTACAGAAAGCTTAAAAGGGAGAAGCTGGGTATTATGGAAAAGACATTTCTTTTAGATTCCTACCATCAAGAAGCTCCCATATCTGGGTCTACCCATCTTAATTTCATTCCCTGTCTTTGATCCTGTCATTTACTCTGCAGTCCAAAATACCGATACAGTTTGGCTAACTTGCATTACAATGGATGATGTTACGGCCAAAAGATATTTTGTTATATAAGTCTTGGAGACTTTACAATCGTCTTATTTTCTGAAATGGCATAAATAAATGGATTTTAAAGAATATTTTGTCTCCGTATACTTACTTGTACATCTGAAGCTGCTCAGCCAAAAATTGTTTTGAAAAAACATTTGTAATTTTATTTTTTTTATTTTTTTAGAGTCTTTAATTTTACCCATCTGTATACGAAAAGCAGTCTTAACTTGATAAAATGGGCAGGTTTTGCAAAGAGATTGTATATTTTCATTTGTTTATCTACACTAGCAACTTTTTGTAGGTTGAACTATTCATGTCCATCTCTTCTCCAAAAGGACTTTACCATCTAATGTACCTACTACCAGAATGAGAGTGAGCTGTTGTAGACCGAAGTGGCAAGGTTGGGGTAAGACAGGGTGAGATTTTATTGTAGAGGTGGTCTTTGGCAGAATAGAGAGAAGGGTTAAAAGTTTCTTTGAGTAACTGTCTGACAGCTGTAGGGATAGAGCATGTGAAACTGATAAGTTTGTGGCCAGAGGGAGGAAAGTGGGGTGTTGGAGACCTTGCAAGGAGTGCGAAGGTGGGAGAATACAAGTTGAAGATGTTGCTATCAGAGTGAGTAGAAGTGTGTGTGTCCATTATGTTGGGTTAAAGGAGGAGGTTAGGTTGAGGAGTTCAGAGGTAGCTGGAGTGTTAACATTAACAAGGATGTGGAAGTCACCAAGAATGACTGTGGGTATTTCAGAGGAGAGAAAGTTGGGTAGCTAGGCTGAGAAGTTGTCAAGAAAATGATGGCAGTCCAGTAGGCCAATAGATCATAGAGATCCTCAGAGATCATTCAGCTCCAGTTTGTAAATGTTAAACACAGATCCTAATGGGAGAACCTGGAGAAAAGAGATAAGTGAGCATCAAAATAAGAGAGGGAGATATGAGGGAAGAAACTGAGAAGTGCTCCACCTCATTTCTAATCCACTGGGTCTAGGTGAGTGGGTCCAGTGGGAGGCTATCATGGGAGAAGGCAGATGAAAAGTCAGTTAGTCTGTAATAAGCTCACCTCTGTCCATTACCTTTTTATTTCTGAGTGGACATTCCAGAGGGCACTTGCGAAAGGGGGCACTGGTTCTAGAAAGAAAGGGGAATAGAAATTAGATTGCGTGGATTGGGATGCTGACAGAAGGTGCGTGCTAGAGGTGGGGGTGGAAGTTAGATGGTGGAGGCTCAGGATTAGGGGATTTGTCCTCTAGTTAGAATAAGCAGAAGGGTGGGGGAGTTTGCGTGTGATTTATATGAAGGCACATGCCACAGTGTCATTCAGGTTTTGTCAGCATTGATTACAAAACTGAAAGGAGATTAATGCTATTAAGAAGGTGGCAGGAGTGATGGCGATATGTATGGGCTGTGTGGTGGAGAGGATGGGAAGTGGGAAAACCGGTTAAGCGAGGGTACTTTTGTGAGAAGGAAATGTAACATGTTAGAGGGTGGAGAGAGGAGGAAGTGGAATTAGGAAATTGAGCTGGATGAAGACAATTGGGCACCTGCAGTCTGTTTGGTGTCATGCAAAATTGTTTGTTGCTGTCTTTTCTTTTTGTTCCTTAGCTGAAGTGCAGTGCTAAAGTGCCTCCGGCTTTTGTCCAAGATGGTACTTGGACATAATGGTAAATGTCAATGCTGATCTACAGTATATTTATACTGAAATTGGATGGGTGCAGTACTTGTCATATGTTCCGTTAGGAGCTGATAAAAGACACATGGCTAGCAAAGCAAAATTTTCACACAAGCCTTTTTCACATGAGCTTCAGCTTGTATAAGAGCAGTGTGAACAGCAAACAAAGTATTTAAAAGCTTCAACAAAGGAGTGTGCATGCGCGGCCGCCGGGATCGGATGTCCCGGCGATAGCTCCGCACACCTCCGGCGCCGATAACAGCCCATATAAGGGCATAGTGCACACTAGCTCCCGGGGGCCCCCCCCAGACCTGGAACGGACCTCGGGCACCCGCAATATGCTGGGAAAACCAGCGGGGAAGAGCCGTGGAGGCTCCCAGATGCTGCTCCCTGCGGGGACTGGGAGGTCCAAGATGGCGCCCGGATCGGCGCCCGTGGCTCCTAGTGCCTCCTCTGCCTCTCTCACGGCAGCACCTCTCCCCCAAGAGAGAAAACGAGCACCTCATCCTACACTGGACTGAGGACTGCGACAGCGTCACCAGCTGGGGTGAGTGACTCCCTGTGGCCCCCCCCCCTGTCACCTTCCAGCCCTGTACCACCAGAGTCCCAGGCTTCGGCCTGTTCCTTGGGCCATGACTCCCCTGCCTCCTCGCCATTGAGCAGCGAGATCACTGCCATTTTTTCCAGCCAGCATAGTGGTCCAGAACCCGCAGATGACAGCCCGGCCTCCTCGCCAACAATTCCTCCTGACCCACCACTATATTCGGGGGACGCGACCTTGATAGCTCGGTTCGCGGATCTGCTGCAACGCGAACTGGATAGAGCTACCTCAAAATTGGCAGCTGACCTTAAGCAGGATTTTCAGGCCTTGGGCCAACGGCTGGACAGTATCGAGGCTAAAGTTGATGCAACAGCTCATAGTGTCTCACAAAATTCCAACATGATCACCGACTTGCAAGATCGCCTGGAGGAAGCATACTCTAAAATTGCTGATTTGGAGAATCGGGCCAGGCAATACAATTTTTGCATTCGAGGACTCCCTGAGTCTGTTAAGGAGCTCACTAGCTGTGCACACACCCTCATGCGGTCTGCTTTGCCCGACATTGATGACCTTCATCTTGAGATAGATCGTATTCACAGGGCATTGATCCCCCCCCCCCCCAGGCAAGGACCTCCTAGAGATATCGTCAAGCCTCATTTTTTCCAGGTCAAGGAAGTGGTTATGCAATATGGCAGGGAGAATCTGGACCTGGAGCTCACGGGGCACAAGATCTCACTCTCTCACTTCTCTCACTTAGTTCAGAAGGGCATTAGATATCGTTGGGCCTACCCTTTTTCGCCTGCAGTTTACTCTTAATGGAAAATCCTATGGGTTTGCTACATTCCAGGATGGCGAGGAGTTGCTGCTTCAGCTGGGTGTTATCTCTCGCAGTCGGCATCCCATTCCCCTACGGGATCGGCTTCTCAATCTCCGCTGCTCCAGCCATTGTGGACTACGCCAAATTTAAGAAGAAGGGATCATGGAATCCACCTGGGAAGATCTTTTGAAATCCTGTGTCCTTTTGGGGACTTTTCACTGTGATATTTTGATTGGTGGTGGTGTCTCTGTGGCTCCTGCGAGCGTTGGCCGCTGCTGCTGTGCTGGTGTGGGGGGATTGGCGGGGAGGGTGGGGGGCAGGACCTGGGGATTACATTACATCTGTTTGCTGAATGCCATTTCAGAAGGTTCAATTGTTTTGTTTTGTTCTTGTATTTTTATGCACTAAACTTTCGATTTATTGCTGATGGGTTTCTGCTACTGTCGGTGCCGGAGAGTGTCTTTGCGCTCTCACTGACTGGAAGACTCTTCCCCGAGATCGCTTCTCTGGGCAGATCCATTCCACTACAGGGCTATTGC